GCATGCAAGGCAAGCACTCTACCACTGAGCCACCTTCCTAGCCCTATTTATTTTTATTGTGCCTGTCTGAGGGCTTGTACTCAGGGCCTGGGTGCTTGCTTTCTCTGAGCTTTTTCACTCAAGCTTGGTGCTCTACCACTCCATTTCTGGCTTCTTTTTGGTGTTTATTGGAGATAGGAGTCTCATGAACTTTCCTGCCCAGGCTGGCTTTCAACTGTAATCCTCAGATCTCAGCCTCCTGAGTAGCTGGGATTATAGGTGTGAGCCACTGGTGCCCAACTTTTCTCTAGGTTTTTCTCATGATCTCTGTCTCTTTCCTTCCTCCCTCTGTCTCTGAGCCCATTCCCAAGGCAGCCTCCTATCCCTCCCGTATCCGCAGCCCTCCCAGCCTCAGTCCCCACTGCCTCGCTGTATACTGCCCCAGTCCATTTGCATCTCCCTAGCAGGGTCTAGCAAAACCCCAGAGCTGCAATTGGGATCACAAGCACCTACCAAGCTCAGCCTAGGGCTTGGGGAGCATCCTGTGGATGAGGGACAGCTCCATCTTGGAGCCCCTCCCTGTCTGGGGGGCTGGGTCATCCCTGGAGGGCAATGGTGTGAGATTTAGGTCCTGGGCCTTGATCATGGAGTACACCTGATCGTGATCCTCGTAGCCATCTGCCGACACCCCTGTGGCCAAGGCTTCTGTTCTCAGCCCAACCTGTGCACCTGTGTGGATGGAACCCTGGCCCCGAGCTGTGGGGTGAGCCCAGGTGAGAGGGCTGTGACCCCTTGGAGGAAGGATGAGAAGGTTCTAGGCATCTGGGTAGCAGGAAGAGCCCAGGCTGGTTTTGTTGGAGGACCAATGCCAAGGTGGGTCCCCCTGTCTTGATTTGCAGAGTTGGGGTGCAGCATAAGCTGCATGAACGGCGGCAGCTGTCGAGGGGCATCCTGTCTGTGCCAGAGGGGTTACAGGGGCACTGTGTGCGGGCAGCGTGAGTATTTCTCAGGGCTGCCTCCCCACACCCTGGCCTCAAATCCCAAAATGATGGGGCCACCAAAGGGGGGATTCCTGACTACAGAAAGACCTTGAGCCCCCTCTGCTTTTCAGGAACCCCTGTCATCCTCCTCCTCTCTCTTTCCACAGCCATCTGTAACCCTAGCTGTCAAAATGGAGGTCGCTGCATCGGGCCCAACCTCTGTGCATGTGTGTATGGCTTTTTGGGGTCCCACTGTGAGACAGGTATGAGGTGACTCAGGGGAGGGGAGAGGATAGGGTGGGGGGTACTGGTGATGATAGAGACATGGCCGGTCCCTGAGAGGGTCCAGCTGGGCTGCCTTCCAGCTGTGGGGCTGTCTGAGGACATTTCTCTCCTTTGCTTATTTGTTCTCAAAAACATCTGCTTTTTCCTGGCCCTAAGTGAGATCCCAGGTCAGAGCCCGAGCCTCTAGGAAGGAGAGAGGCCTCACCCTTGGGGGAAAGGGGGGTGGGAACCCGCCCAGTCTGCAGTCAGAAAGCTCTAACTCAGGGCCTGGGCACTGTCCTTGAGCTCTTTTTGCTCAAGGCTAGCGCTCTGCCACTTTGAACCACAGTGCCACTTCACATTTTCTGGTTGTTCATTGGAGATAAGAGTCTCACGGCTGCCTGGCTGGCTTTGAACCATGATCCTCAGATCTCAGCCTCTTGAGTGGCTGGGATTACAGGCGTGAGCCACCAGGGCCTGGCTTCTTTTTCTTTTTGGTGGTGCTGGGGATGGAACTCAAGTTCTTGCACATTTTAAGCAAGTGCTCTACCACTGTGCCATGCCTCCAGCCTGAACCCCCAACTCTTAAAGCAATTCCAGGAGCTAGGTGCTGGGGTCTCACATCTCAACGACTCAGGAGGCTGAGATCTGAGGCTCCTGGTTCAAAGCCAGAGTGGGCAGGGAAGTCTGTGAGACTTTTATCTCCAGTGAACCACCAAAAAGCTGGAAGTGGTGCGGTGGCTTAAGGGGTAGAGCACAAGCCATGAGTGAAAGTAGCCAAGCAAGAGCACATATCTCTGAGTTCAAGGCCCAGCTCCGAGCGTACGCACACGCGCACTTGTGCACACACACACACACACACACACACACACATACACTATAATAACAATAATGATAATCTGGAGGGGTGTTGTTTGCAGAGGAGTGGGACCAAGCTAAGATCTAAAGTGAGCTTTTGGAAACTGACTTGGACCGAGAAAATAAATAAATAAAAAGGGCATGGAAATAAGGATTGTGGGAGTTGAAGCACACTCGGGATGGCTGATGGGGTGAGGGTAAATAAAGAACTCAGGGTGTGGGGTGCACGCTGAAGCCCCTGGAGGATGAGCCTGAGGTTCTGGGAACTGTTAGTTTCGGAAGTTGGTACTACAGGAGTGGGGGCTATCTCTGAACCCCTTTAGGGGGTGGAGGGTGGCTCTGGCTCTCTCTACGAGGGGCTGCTCTTGGTGGGGTGCCAGATCCTCTTATTGGGAACATATGAAGAGTGGGAAAGGAAATCAGTCTGAGCCCCTGCACAGCCATTGGAAAACAGATGTGGCCATCTTGGGCTCTAGGGTTCAGGGCTAAGGCAGCGTAAACCCAGAGCATAGGGGCAGGTGGTGCCTTCAAAATCAGGGAGATTTGGCAGGACCTAAGGTGTGTAGGAATGAGTTAGACACCTCAGCCAGGCTTCCAAGGTCCTTGCTTGAATGGAGGAAAAGAGTGAGCAGACATATCATGTATGTGTGTGTGTGTGTGTGTGTGTGTGTGTGTGTGTGTGTGTGTGCGCCATCTTTGGGGCTTGATCTTGGGCCTTGGCACTGTCCCTGAGACTTTTGTGCTGAAGGCTAGTGCTCAACCACTTGAGCCACAGCTCTACTTCTGGCCTTTTGATAATTAGTTAGAGGTAAGAGTCTCACAGATTTTCCTATGCAGGCTGGCTTTGATCCTTGAATCTCAGATTTCAACCTCCAGAGAGGCTGGGATTACAGACATTCACCACCAGTGCCTAGCAATATCATGATTTTTTTTTGCCAGTCCTGGGGCTTGAACTCAGGGCCTTGGCACTGTCCTTGAGCCTTTCTATGCTCAAGGCTAGCACTCTACTACTTGAGCCACAGTGCCACTTCTGGCTTTTTCTGTTTATATGGTACTGAGAAATTGAACCCAGGGCTTCATGGAAGCTAGGCAAGCAGTCTGCCATTAAGCCACATTTCCAGCCCCCTCATGTACTTTTGAAGCTGGAGGTTAGTTGAGGGGGTGGGGGTGAGGTATGTACTGAAGAAAAAAGGTTTTGAAGAAAAGAAGGTTTTAAAGGGTGCATAGGAGTTTGTTAAGTAAAGCTGAGAAAGAAATGGAAGGAGAACGGAATGTGGTGGAGAGAAAGCCTGGTGGACTGGGGCAGAGAGGCTGGGAAGGGGATGCAGAGGCTGAGGGCTCTGGGAAGGGGTCGATCTAAGGTCAACCATGTACATCTATCTGGTCACAGACTACCGGACAGGGCCATGCTTCAGCCAAGTGGGCTCCAAGGGGTGCCAGCACCAACCAAGGGGCCTCACGTTCACCAAGGCGCTCTGTTGTGCCACTGTGGGTCACGCCTGGGGCCTTCCTTGTGAGCCCTGCCCCCCACAGCCACACCCCTGCCGTCGAGGCTTCATCCCCAGTATCCGCACGGGAGCCTGTCAAGGTGCGTCTTGGTGTGGGCCACGGGGGACCTGGGCTGAGTGGGAGCCCCAGATGCCTTGGTTTCTCCCTCTTGACTAGCCGCTCGCTCCCTTGCTGCTCAACTTTGTCCTTCTAGACGTGGACGAGTGCCAGGCCATCCCAGGGCTGTGCCAGGGCGGTAGCTGCACCAACACCGTGGGCTCCTTCAAATGTCGCTGTCCCGTTGGACACCGGCTCAGTGCCAGTGGTGTCACGTGTGAAGGTGGGAGGGTGCTCTGGGACCTGCTCTGTTCCAGAGCACTCTGGGGTCCCCGAGGACGGGGTGGGGGGAGGGCGAGAGGCCTGTGTACAACTCCACGTGTCCCTGTCAACACAGGTGTGGAGCACTGTCTCGGTGTGCCAGGCCGCTGCTCCGGGGGCACCTGCAAGAACAGAGCGGGGGGCTACGTGTGCATCTGTCCCCCAGGCCTGATCAGCAGCCCCGACGGTGCCCGATGCCTGGGTGAGGCAGGCAGGGAGGCTGGGGGCAGGGGGAGTGAGGGGGGCAGGGCCTCTTTTCACCTCTCCTTGCCTCAGTGTAGACCTCCTACCCAGCCCCTCTGGCCTACCCATCTCTACCTCCTTCTGCCTTCCTGAGTCCCAGTTTCCGCCCCTCTGGCTGTCCTGGGTTGGGGTTTGGGAACCCCCTTGGCCTCCTGTCTGTCGGACCTTTAGCACTGTGGTTGGCTCAGCCTCCTGGCAGCCTCGCTCCCTTTCCCACGCATCCCTGTCCCCTCAGATTTTGGCTCACTGGCCCCTCCCCCTGCCCTTTGGCTTCCCTCTCTATGCCCCCTCTGGCTCTGTAGATTTGAGCTCTGCACCCCTTCTGATCCTCTGTGCCCTTCTAGCTTTCATCTCCATGCTCCCTGCTGACTTTATAGCCGCCATCTTCGTGGCCCTCAGGGAACCTTTGGCCTCTCTCTCTATGTCCCTTGTGTTTTTCTAGCTTTCATCTCATACCTTCATGCTGACACTCTAGCCTCTCTCTCTCTGCCCTCCGTTGACCCTCTAGTTTTTTTTTTTTTTTTGTGGGTCGTGGGACTCGAACTCTGGGCCTGGGCACTGTCCCTCAGCTCTTCAGCTCAAGGCGAGCATTCTACCACTTGAGCCACAGCACCACTTCTGGCTTTTTCTGTTTCTGTGGTGCTGTGGAATCGAACCCAGGGCCTCACTCATGTGAGGCAAGCGCTCTACCATTGAGCCACCTTCCCAGCCCGACCCTTTAGTTTTCATCTTTATTTATGTATTTAATTTATTTGTTTATGTCAGATGTGGGGCTGGACCTGGGGGCCTATGCACTCTCTCTAAGCTCTTTCACTTAAGGCTAGCACTCTACTATGCTGAGCCACTGCTCTACTTCTGGTTTTTCTGGTGGTTTACTGGAGATTAGAGTTGCATGGACTTTCCTGCCCAGGCTGGCTTCGACCCACAATCCTTAGATCTCAGCCTCCTGAGTAGCTAAGTTGGCACACATGAGCCATGAGGGCCCAGCTTAGTTTTCTTCTTTATTACTCCTTCCTTTCCATCTCTGTGCTCTTCTGACCATCTCTCCCTCTGCCCCTGTCTCCCTCCCCTCTCCGCCTCTCTTTCCCTTTCTCACACCATCTTTGAGATGGGGAAACTGAGACCAGAAGTCAGGTTTCATTGTGAGTACTCAACATGTGTAGAACGGAGGACTGCCTATGTCCAGCTTCCTAGAACCACAGCCAGCATGGGGAGGGTGTGTCTCTGGCTATGCACCTTCCCTTCTGAACATCCAGCCTGTTTGGCAGGGGGCGGGGTGTCCCACCACATCAGCCACGTGCCTGTTGTTAGCAGGCCCTAAAAGTTGCATGGGTAGTGATGAGCCAAGTCCTGAGTTGGGGGGAAGGAAGGAGATGATGGCTCCCTAGCAGCATCTCAGGCCCCTCGGGCTGGGCCTACACCAGGCAGGGCTGAGAATATTGTGTTTGGCTGTGGCCAATCCCAGACTTTCTAGTTCTGTACCTCTGGGCACCATCTTGGCTACCATTGAGGTGGTGTGTGTGTGTGTGAGGCTCTGGGCATATCTCCCACCTTTTCATTAGTGACTGCCCCAGATGCTGTGTGACAGGGCAGCTGCCTTGCCCTCTCTGTACCTTCCTTTCCCCATCTGTGAAAGGAACTGCCTTGAGGATCAAGGAAGAATTTGGGACTACTCAAGATGCTGAGATCTGAGCATCGCAGTTCAAAGCCAACTGGAGACAGGAAAGGTCATGAAACTCTTACCTCCCACGAACCACCAAAAAGCTGTGGCTCAGGTGGTGGAATGCCAGTCTTGAGCACAAATGTTAAGGGAGTCAAGTCAAGGCCCAGGCCTTGACTTCAAGCCCCAGTACCTGCACACACATAGAGGTGATTTGTAGGTGGAACTCAGTCCACATTCACAGAGAAACTGAGGACCCCTGGGTGGGAGTGGGGGCGAGTGGTGTTTAGCAGGGCCGGGTCCTTGTGGCTACAGGCAGCCATCATTTCCTTTAACATTCTCACATTCTCTCTCCTTTCCTGCTTGAGAGGCAGCTGTTCATCAGATCCCCTGGGATTGGGGAGTCTGTTTCCCACCCTTAGACTTAGCAGCTGGTTGACCTTGAAGGAGTCTGTTGACCTCTTCAGGTCTGGGCAGGCCCAACCACCCCTTTGTCCTTGAAAGGGCTGTGAAGAGGTCCTGGCTGGGGGTGGGGTGGGGTGGGGTGGGGAGAGCGCAGGTGTGCCAGGGCCAGAGAGAGGTGGAAACATTTGGATGTTCTCCCAGTTTAGAGGGGGAAGGCTAGGGGCAGCAGCCAGCGGCCTTCCCAGTCTGGGTGGAGGGGTTTTTCAAACGTGGGCCACCAGTCAAGATATTGCAGAGTTTTAAAACCTAAAAATAAAGTTTGGAAGCTGGGCGCTGGTGGCTTACGCCTGTAATCCTAGCTACTCTGGAGGCTGAGACCTGAGGATCACGGTTCAAAGCCAGCTCAGACAGGAAAGTCGGTGAGACTCTTAACTCAAATGAACCACCAGAAAACGGGAAGGGGCGCTCTGGCTCAAGCGGTAGAGCGCTCACTTTGAGCTGAAGAGCTGAAGGACAGCGCCCAGGCCCAGAGTTCAAGCCCCATGACTGAGGGGGAAAAAAGTTTGGAGAGGGGCTGGGAATGTGGCTTAGTGGTAGAGTGCTTGCCTATCATGCATGAAGCCCCAGGATCGATTCCTCAGTGCCACATAAACAGAAAGCTAGAGGTGGTGCTGTGGCTCAAGAGGTAGAGTGCTAACCTTGAGCAAAAGAAGCTCAGGGACAGTGTCCAAGCTTTGAGTTCAAACCCCAGGACTGGCAAAATAATAATAATAATAATCATATTAATAATGATAATGATGATGATAATCATAATAATGTGTTTGGAATCAAAGCCTGAGAAATCGAATTGCCTAGGGAAAGCCTGTGACTAGAGGGCTAAGTGGGAAATGGATAGAGGTCTGTGGTAGTCATTAGGGGATTCTCTGCCTCAGTCTCCCCTTGGGGCTGTGGCTGTCGATCCTTCCATCCATCTCATTGGTCCCTGGTGATGATTCTTGAGTTCAATGATCAGGCTTGAGTGATTGGGCTCAAAACCAGGCCCTGCGCCAACCTCCCAAAAGTTCTCTGTGTCCCTGTGCATGGAAATGAAGTGTAAATGGGCAAGCCATTTGCAAATCACTGTGAAAAGTGTGTGTGTGTGCGCATGCATGCATGTGTACACGCACACACCAGTCCTAAGGCTTGAATTCCAAGGATTGGATGCTGTCGCTGAGCTTTTTGGTTAAGGTTAATGCTCTACCACTTCAGCCACAGTTCCACTTGCAGCTTTTGGGTGGTTTATTGGAGATAAGAGTCTCACAGACTTCCTTGACATAGACTGGCTTTGAACCGGGATCCTCAGATCTCAGCCTCCTGTGTAGCTAGGATGATAGGCGTGAGCCACCAGTGTCCAGCTACATTCCAAACTTTTAAAATTTTTACCCAAACCATACTTGGTCACACCCTCATTTTAGATGGGGAAACCAAGTCACAGAGAAGTAGGAGACACAAACCACAGAAAGGCATGGGTACAAGGTTTGTACCCATGGCTTTTTTTTTTTTTTACATTTTTAAATTATTGTATCTTTAAGTAGTTGTACAAAGAAGTTCCCATTCTACAAAACAGCATATGATGTACCCATGGCTTTATGACTTGTGTCCCCCTACTCTCAACCCTGTGCTCCCAGACCCCACCCTCCGGCCTGCTGTAGATCGTCGCCTGGGCACTTGCTTCTCGGTCCTGATCAGTGGCCACTGTGCTGCAGCCCTGGGAGGCCGCTATCCACGCAGGCAGTGCTGCTGTGATCTGGGAAGATGCTGGGCTGCCAGCCTGCCTCTGGAGCTGTGTCCTTCTCCGGGATCTGGTAAGTGAGCTCCAACTTTTCTAGGTCAGGGCCCTATGGGCAAGGCCAAGAACCTGGCTTAGTCTGTTCCTTGCAGATGAGTTCCGGCGACTGTGTAATCTGGGACAAGCGAGGCTGCCTTCCTACCCTAGCCTTTTCCCCGGCCTCCCAGGCTTCAGATCCAGTGGCACAGAACCAGCACGGCCCAGCCCACGTGGCTCCAGTGGGCCTGGGGTCCCTAGCCTGGGTCCTGGAAATCCCAACATCGGTAAGGCCTGAGACTTGGGAGGAAGGTGCCAAGATGGAGCAGGGTGGGGGAGAAGGGGTTGAGTCTCTGGGGAGAGAGTCCTGGTTGAAAGGAAAAGCATCTTTTCTTTGAAAGGGTCAGAGTTGGAGTGGGGATAGGGAGAAGGATATGTTGGTCCTCTGTGGGTTGAGTATTTTGAGATTCATCCAACCTTGTATAGAAATTTATTTGTGTGTGTGTGTGTGGAATGGGGGATGTATCACCAGGGGCTGTGATGCATGCCTGTAATTCCAGCTACTTGGAAGGTTGAGATAGGAGAATCCTGGTCTGAAGCCAACCCAAGAAAAAAAAATTAAATGAGACCCCATCTCAAATACAAACTGGTGGCTTTGGTGTGATGGCTCACATCTGTAATTCCAGCTACTCAGAAGACAAGAGATGAGGAGGATCATGGTTTCCCAGGGCAGCCCAAGGGAAAAAGCTAAAAAGATCCTCATTTCAATCAATAGCTAGGTACAGTAATATGCACCTGTACTCTGAGCTATGTGAGAATCCTAAATGGGAGAACTGAGGTCCAGGTCCCTCCAGACATAAACTTGATACTTTTTCCTAAAAATAAGTAAAAAAAAAAAAAAGTCCCAAAAGGGCCTGGAGGCTTAAGCTCTAGTCTTGTGGCTTTGTGATAGAGAAAGTTAAGGGCTTGGCTCATTTGTAAAGCGAGTAACTCAAGTGATGGAGACATGACTTTGTGGAGGGTGTGGCCTAAGTGATGGAGGTGTGACCCAAGCAGTGGGGGTGAGGCTTGTCACAGAGGATGTGTCCTAGGCAGGGGGGGGGAAGAGGGGGACATGACTTAAGTGGTAGAGCTCCTGTCTAGCAAGCCTAACTCCATGAGATCAATCAAACCTCAGTGCTACCAGGAAAAGAAAAAAAAATTTGTGTCTGTACTGAAAATGTGCAGACTTTTTCTTGTCTTTATTCCATCAACAATGCTGTGTGGGTGTTGTTTACCTCGTTTTCGGTAGGATAAGTCATCCAGAGACAATTGAAGCCTGTGGGAGGTTGGGCAGTGAGTGGTTCTTTCCAAGCATGACACTTTTTATTTTATTTTATGTGACGTATTTATTTATGCCAGTCTGAGTGTCTGAACTCCAGGCTTGGGCGCTGTTCCTGAGCTTTTTTTGACTCAAGGCTAGCGCTCTACCACTTGAGCCAGAGCACCATTTCCAGCTTCTTGCTGGTTAATTGGAGATGAGAGTCTCACAGACTTTCCTACTTGGGCTGGCTTTGAAGTGCGATCCTCAGATCTCAACCTCTGAAGTAGCTAGGATGACAATTGTGAGCCATAGGTGCCCAGCAAGACGCCATTTAATATAAGGAACTGGCATATCTGTGCACTTTGGTAGTGGAGGAGGGCTCGGACCCCATGTCCTACAGATACCAAAGGGCGATGTGGTAAGGGAGTGTGTGTGGGGGATGGGGGGGCAGTCAAATTGATGATCTGGTCATCAAAGTCAGGATCTTGGACCCACAGTGTGAGAGGCTGAGATGAAGTACTGAGCCCCACAGTGTGGATCTGGACCCAACTTGTGACTTTTGTGTGTGTGTGTGCGTGTGTGCGTGTGTGTGTGTGTGTGTGTGTGTGTGTGTCCAGATTTGGGGTGAGGCAGGCCACAGGATGAGACCTAAGCCAGACAGGCCCCCAGGCTCAGTTGGTGTGAAGACCTAGAGACAAAGCTGGGGCTCTGGCCTGGGGGTGGGACTGCGGTGGCTGATGGGTTTCCCCTCCCCACCCCCATCCTTTTGCCTGCACACAGGCACAGCCACACTGAACCAGACCATGGACATCTGCCACCACTTCCCCAACCTGTGTCGCAATGGCCGCTGCCTGCCCACGCATACGAGCTACCGCTGTGAATGTAACCCGGGATACAGCCAGGATGCACAGGGCGAATGCCTCGGTGAGCTGACGGCAGTAGGGTGCGGGGCGTGGGGGTGGGTACGCCCTGTCAGAGCTCAGGGTCATGTCCCCGCAGATGTGGACGAATGCACCAGCAGAACCTGCCATCATGGAGACTGTGTCAACACCCCTGGCTCTTATCACTGCCAGTGCCATGAAGGTTTCCAGGCTTCCCAAACCAGGCAGGCGTGTGTGGGTATGGCACCACTCATTGACGTATCCGAGAATAGGGGTGAATGGTGGGAGAGCCTGGCTGGGGATGTCAGGGTGTCACCTGAATGCCTGTCTGCATCCCTTCCCCCAGATACGGATGAGTGCATGGTCCTCGGTGGTCTCTGCCACCCGGGCCACTGCATTAATACTGAAGGGAGCTTCCAGTGTGTCTGCAGTGCCGGCTTTAAGCCCAGCCCTGATGGCAGGAAGTGTGTGGGTAAGTTGAGGCTGGATGGGTGGGCAGGAGGCTTTGGACTCCATTGGTTGTCTCTTAGAGCCATTGAATTCCCTTCACTAGGCACCAGCATCCACCCCACCCCCCCCCACCTGCTGCTGCCTGCTGCCTTAGCTCACTGCCCTGAGCCCACACACACTTTCCTAAACCCATACCATGAATTGCAAGGAGGGGAACTTTTTTTTTTTTGTCGGTTGTGGGACTTGAACTCTGGGCCTGGGCGCTGTCTCTCAGCTCTTCAGGTCAAAGCGAGTGCTTTGAGCCACAACACCACTTCCAGTTTTCTGGTGGTTAATTGGAGATAAGAGTCTCACAGATGTTCCTGCCCGGGCTGGCTTCGAACCACGATCCTCAGATCTCAGCCTCCTGGGTAGTGAGGATTACAGGCGTGAGCTGACAGAAAAGTTCCCCAGAAGGGGAATTTTTGCTAGGTGTCTGTGGTTCATACCTGTAATCCCAGCTACTCAGAAGGCTGAGATCTGAGAATCAAGGTTCAAAGTCAACCTCAGGCAGGAAAGTCCATGAAACTCTCATCTCCAATTAACTAGCCAAAAAAGGTGGAAGTCTTGACACAAGAGATCAGGAAAAGTACCCAGGCACTGAGTTCAAGTCCCAGTACTGCCCCTCCCCCCAAATAAAATAAAAGGAGGAATCTTGGGGGTCAGACTCTGAGTCTAGCTGGCCTGATTCTGGTCTGAAATCAGCTCAGGATGGCCTGGTCACCGAGAGGGCAGGGTCAGGACCTTGGAGAGCGCCCACTCCCTGTTCCCTGAAGGGTGCAGGTGGCTCAGGGATCCCAGGCATGGATGCCCCATGAGCTGTCTCTGAGATCTTCCTTCAAGTCTTTCATGGAAAAGGAATTGATCATTCCTGTAGTCATTGGTTTCTAAAAGTAAAATACCCCCTCCCCTCATTTGTCAGTCAGGGAGCTTGAACTTAGGGCCTGGGCACTGTCCCTAAGCTATTTTACTCAAAACTAGAGCACACTTTCATTTCCGGTTTTCTGATGGTTAATTGGAGGCAAGAGTCTCATGGACTTTCCTACCCAGGCTGGCTTCAAACTGAAATCCTCAAATCTCAGCCACCTGCATTTCTAGAATTACAGGTGAGAGCCACTGGTACCCAGCTTTTAAATATTTTTACTGATGTATAATTCACATAACATAAAATTAACAACTTAAAGTATACAATTCAATGGTTTTTTTAGTATGTACAAAGATTGATACAAATATTACCATAGTCAAATTTAAAACATTTTTATTATCTACAAAATACAGTCCAGGATGATAGTTTATGCCTGTAAATCCAGCTACTCAGAAGGCAGAGATAGACAAAATCCTGGTTCAACAGCAAGGCAATACCCATCCTCCCAGAAAGCAATAAGCCAGATGTGATGCTTCATACCTGTAAGACCAGTTACATGGGTGATGCAGGAAGGCAGAACGTAGCATGGGGCTGACCCTGAGTAAAAACGCTGCATCCTACCTGAAAAATAACAAAAGAAAAAATAAGCTGTGATGCGGCTCAAAGGACAGTGCCTGCTTAGCAAGCACAAGAGTCTGAGTTCAAATCCCAGTGCTGCCAAAATCAGTCAATCAATCAATAAAGGCTTTGGCCCTAGGTATCAAGTCCTAGGTATCACGTCCTTACACTGTGGATTTGCCTGTTGTGGACATTTTCCTTTATACTGTTGAGTAATATTCCACTGTGGAAACTTGGTATCAGTGGCTCATTCCTGTCAGCTACTCAGGAGGCTGAGATCTAAGGATTGTGGTTCAAAGCTTGCCTGGGGGCAGGAAAGTCCGTGAGACTCTTCAAATAAACTATCCCCCCCCCAAAAAAAAGCCAGGGGGCTGTGAAAGTGGCTCAGTGGTAGAGTACTTGCCTTGGATGCATGAGGCCCTGGGTTCAATTCCTCAGCACCACATAAGCAGAAAAAGCCAGAAGTGGTGCTGTGGCTCAAGTGGTAGAGCACTAGAGAGGAGGGCTCCTGTAGGATGGAAAGGGGGAGGAAGAGAGAGAGAGAGAGAGAAAGAGAGAGAGAGAGAGAGAGAGAACATGGCTGATCCATAGGGTAGGGCAGCCTCTGGTGTCTAGATCACAATGAGTGTGCCACCAGCACCATGTGCCTCAATGGCATGTGCATCATGAAGATGGCAGCTTCATGTGTCTCTGCAAGCCGGGCTTCACGCTGGCACCTGGTGGCCAATACTGTATGGGTGAGGCATGAGGCTGAGCCTTGCACTTCAGAGAGGGTGATGACAGGGAAGGATGAGGGAAGGGTTGGGGAGAAGAGAGGAGGGAATGGGGTGGGGGAGAAAGGCAGAGGTGAGGAGAGACGGGAGAAGAAACACAGAAGGGGGAGCAGGGAAGGATGGGCATGGGGAGTGAGGGATGGGGAGCAGGCTGGGCCTTCCCATAGGTACTGCTCTCCCTTCCCTCCCCCCGCAGACATTGACGAGTGCCAGAAGCCAGGCATTTGCGGGGGGACCAGCGGTTGCACCAACACTCAGGGCTCCTTCCACTGCGGGTGCCTGGGGCCACGGGCAGGGGGCATGGGCAGCCCCACATGCGTGGATTCCCAGGTGCACGGCAGGTGCTTCGGGGCCGCCCGGCCTGGCCCCTGCTCCCGGCCTTTGCCGGGCACCATGACCAAGGCTGAGTGCTGCTGTGCCAGCCCCGATCATGGGTTCGGGGACCCCTGTCTGCTCTGTCCTGCCAAGAACTCTGGTGAGTTTCCTTGGGCCAGGCCCCATCTAAATTCATCCCTGGGAGGGGGGAGGGAGGGGGTCCCCCTAAGAAAAGACCTGGGAAGGGGGCAGGGAGGTTTCTTGCCCAAGGCCAAGGTGCCAGGGCCAGTTCAGCCTCAGACCCCACCCCAGGGGCCAACCTTCATCAATGCTTCCCCCCCCCCAGCCGAGTTCCAGGCCCTGTGCCCGGGCGGACGTGGCATCTTGGCGGATGGGCAAGGTGAGTGGTGTCTCCCCTTCTTCCCGGGCTTGTGGACCCCCAACTTCCAGAAGCCAGGGCAGCTGTGCCATCTCCCGTCTGCAGCTGTCTCCTGTCTCTGCAGACATCAACGAGTGTGCCTTGGACCCCGAGGTGTGCAGCAATGGCGTGTGCGAGAACCTTCAGGGCAGCTACCGGTGCATCTGCAACCTGGGCTACCAGGTGGATGCCTCAAGCTGGGACTGCGTGGGTGAGTACAGGAGCCAATGGAGCAGAGGGTGGGCCAGGCCTCAGCAGGCCCCTCCCCCCTGTCTTCCTCCTCCCCCACAGATGTGGATGAGTGTGCCCTCAACTCTATCCTGTGTGACAATGGGCTGTGCCAGAATAGCCCGGGAAGCTATAGCTGCTCCTGCCCCAGGGGCTTCAGCTTCCCAGACACAAAGACCTGTGAAGGTATTGGGGGCCCCTGTGGTCCCTGTGCACCTGTCTTATGTCTCCCTCTGTAGCCAGCTTGTGCCTTGACCTTTCTGAAGGTCACTGTTGGACACTGAGCATGCGTGTGGTTTTTAAGCAATCTGGCCAGGCATTTGGTTACTCACGCCTATAATCCTAGCTACTCAGGAACCTGAGATCTGTGGATTGCAGTTTGAGGCCAGCAGGAGCAAGAAAGTCTGAAGATCTTGAATTAACTGGCAAAAAAAAAAAACACCAAAAAACTGGAGGGGAGCTGTGGCTCAAGTGGTAGAGCCCCAGCCTGGAGTGAAAATGCTAATGGGTAATGTCCATGCTGTGAATTCAAGCCCTAGGACCAGTATACACACACACACACACAAAGCAATCTGATGGGCTGGGAATGTGGCTTAGTGGTAGAGTGCTTGCCTATCACGCATGAAGCCCTGGGTTTGATACCTCGGTACCACATAACAGAAAAAGCTAGAAGTGGTGCTGTGGCTCAAGTGGTAGAGTGCTAGCCTTGAGCAAAAGCAGCTCAGGGACAGTTCCGAGGACTTCAGTTCAAGCCCCAGGACTGGAAAAAAAAAAAAAGGAACTGAGTTAAAGGGTGCTTTGCCTGTCAGCTCTGCTCATGAAGATGTTCCAGGCTGGAGTGGGGGGAGGGGAGTTATTTTTTTCCTGTCCTTTTCAGCACATGATATATGCACATCTGTACACACATGCACACATAGCTGGCAAACACTGTCCTTTGCATACAAGTTCTATTCCTGCATCTCTTTTTCCTGTACCTGGGTTTGAGTCCAAGCCCTCCTACTTGCTAGCTTTGCTGGTGCTCTACCACTTGAGCCACAGCATCAGTCCAGCTTTTTGCTGGTCATTTTGGAGATGGAATCTTTTGACTTTTCTCTCTGAGCTGGCCTAGAACGCTGATCCTCCTGATCTCAGCTGCCTCAGGCGTGAGGCATCGCCTGCCTGGCTATTCCTGAGCCTTCTGCTTGCTTGCTTGTACAGGCACCATGGCGCCATGGTTCTGTGGGGAGGAAGGGCCCTGCCCAGGTGGGCCTTCAGTCCTGCTGCTCAGCATCAAACAGCATCTGTCTCCTACAGACATAAATGAGTGCCTGTCTAGCCCGTGTGTGAATGGCATATGCCAGAACCTGGAGGGCTCCTATGCGTGTGAATGTGCCCCTGGCATGCAGCTGGGTCCTTCTGGAACAGTGTGTGTAGGTGAGAGGTGTGATGGGGCCTGGGCACCTGCAGATAGAGTGGGCACAGGTTTAAGCCCAGCATGGAAGATGGGGCTCATCCCCTTAATTCCCCCACTTCTTCCCCCTTCCCCCCCCTCCCGCCCCACTGCCCAGACAGCACCAAAGGCACCTGCTGGCTGCACACCCAGGACGGCCAATGCGAGGTGAACCTACCAGGCCCAACTCTGCGTTCTGAATGCTGTGCCACCCTGGGGGTCGCCTGGGGGAGCCCCTGCGAGCCCTGTGAGACTGGTACTGACCCCACCGGGCATCTCAGCTCTGTACCTGTACCCTGGCTCATTGGTAGTGCTGGGTAGAGAATGACCCCTCTTTCCATCCCCATTCTCCCAACCACAGATCCCACCTGTGCACGTGGCTTTGCCCGCGTGAAGGATCTTACCTGTGAAGGTAACTCCCGCCCCCACTACCAACACCTCCCCCTCCAAAAAAAAATTCTGTCCCAGCTGGGTGCCAGTGGCTCATGCCTGTAATCCTAGCTACTAAGGAGGTTGAGATCTGAGGATTGGGGTTCAAAACCAGCCAGGGCAGAAAAGTTTCCATACGACTCTTATTTACATTTAACCACTCAAAAATTGGAAGTGGTACTGTGGCTCAAGTGGTAGAGCGCTAGCCTGCATCACAAAGAAGCTCAGGGACAGCGCCCAGAAAACACTGAGTTCAAAGTCCCAACCCCTCCCCCCCCCCCGCAAAAATAAAAATCTTCCCCTAGGCAGGGCTGGTCCTAAGTGCATGCTGCCTGAGTCCCTTCCTGGGTGTATTTAAGGTTGAAACAAATTTCTCCAGCCCCTGTACTCAAGACTTGCCAGGGGCCCTCAGTACCCATCCTAGGCCCTCTCTTCCCTTTCCAAGACTCCCAGAGCCCAGGGTCATGGCCAACACCCCCCTCCTCTCCTTTCCTCCCATGACCAGATATAAACGAATGTGACTCCTTCCCTGGCCTGTGTCCTAATGGGCTGTGCTTCAACACCGAAGGCTCCTTCCACTGCCAGTGTCCCCAGGGCCTGACACTGGACACCTCTGGCCGGCTATGTGTGGGTGAGTCCTGCAGGATCTTCCAAGGATGGAACCACCTCCCCAATAGGAGGGATGTGGGGGTGGCCCAGGACCTTCTATTCCCTGTCCACTTCCTTCTGATGTATGTCCAAACAAATCCCCTTCACTGCACCCTGTGAGTCTATCTTCTCCCTTTCCGAAGCTCAAGCCAAAATGGTACAGCTTGGTGCCAGCCTAGCTACTGAGCTGGTGTCTTCTCTTGTCACCTGTCAGTGCACTCAGGGTTCATGTGGGCACCCTGCAGCCATGAAACCGAGGCTGAGGTGCACAGAGAACAATTGCTCTCATCTTGGAGCATAGATACTTTCCTGAGACGGTTCACCCTCAAGTTGCAAGGCCCTGAAATGATCTTTTCAGAGATAACATTGCTACCTTTGAAAAAGGAGAAGTACCTTAACGGAGCATGGTAGTGCACACCTGTAATCCCAGCACTCAGGAAGCTGAGGCAGGAGGATGGTAGATTTGAAGATCATCGGGGCTACATAGTAAACTTCCTAGTAAACCTAGTAAACTTCTATCGGTAAAGACTGAGTGAGTAGATATTTTGGTTCTAGGGGCCATACTGTCTCTGGGCAACCACAAAATTTATGTATACCAGCAGATGTGGCTGTGTGCCGTTGAAACTTCATTTAACAAAAACAAAAACAGGCTCCAGTCCCCTGGCTGGAAGTGGAGTTGGGGAAGATATGGCTGCTTTCAGGTTGTTCTGTGTTTTGTTTGGATGGTGTTTGAACTCAGGGCCTTATATTTACTAAGCAGAAGTTTACCACTTGAGCCATGCCCCCAAGATCTTTTTGCTCTAATATTAAAAAAAAAATAGGGCGGGGCGCCGGTGGCTCACACCTATAATCCTAGCTACTCAGGAGGCTGAGATCTGAGGATCGAGGTTCGAAGCCAGCCTGGGCAGGAAAATCTCTGAAACTCTTATCTCAAATGAACAGCTAGAAAACTGGAAGTGGCGCTGTGGCTCAAGTGGTAGATCGCTCACTTTGAGCTGAGGAGCCCAGGGACAGAGTTCAAACCCCATGACAAATAAAAGAAAAAAATAGGGTCTCACTTTTTTTCTCAGATTGGCAAGGACCATGATCTTCCTATTTAGGCTTTCTGTATAACTAGGATGACAGGCATGCACCACTGTGCCCAGCTTTTTATTGGCTAATATGAGGTCTTGTAAACATTTTTGCCTAGTCTGGTCTTGGACTCTAATTTTCCCAATTTCAACTAGGATTACAGGCATGAGTCACTCTGGTAGATTTCTGATATTTGAGTTAGTGTGCAGTATTGGGAATTGAACCGAGGGCCTTTTTAGTGCCTGAGAAGCATTCTACCTTGAGCATCATCTTGAGATTTAGTGATTGAAGGGCTTAGAACCATGCCTACGACTTGGTTAAGTACCCAGGCAGTGTGTCATTGTTATTATTATTGGGTGGGACTGGGGCATGACCTCAGATCTCAGCAAGAGGAAGTCATTCCTTTTCGCTGTCCTTACTGGGAACAAAGCCAGGGGCAAGTGATGCCGAGTGCCAAACCTGCCTCAGAGTGCCAGGGGCCTGCCCTCGTAACCTCTCCACCTGCAGATATGAGGCTGGAGCCATGTTTCCTGCAATGGGACAAAGATGACTGTGAGGTTCCCCTGCCTGGCAAGTATCGGATGGATGTTTGCTGCTGCTCCATCGGGGCCTCGTGGGGAGCTGAGCGTGAAGCCTGCCCAGAGCCTGACTCCCCGGAGTTTGCCAGCCTGTGTCCCCGAGGGCCAGGCTTTGCCAGCCAGGACTTCCTCTCTGGCCAGCCCTTCTATAAAGGTTGGGCTGGGAAGGGGAGCTTGGAAAGGGCCCTGGGTGGGGGAGGAATGGGGATGGGGAGGGCACAGGATGCCAATAAAGGCCTGGGGGGTGGACAGTGAGTTTGGGGAAATGTACAAACTCCCAGGGAGGGCTAGGATTCGGGCACCTAACTTTTGGGGCATTAGGGTGTGATTTGGCTGACTGTGTTTTATTATTTATTTATTTTTGGGTCTGGTCGTGGGGCCTGAACTCTGGGCCTGGGCGCTGTCCCTCAGCTCTTCAGCTCAAGGCTAGCACTCTACCACTTGAGCCACAG